CTCATGGGTGTAATTCCAGCACGCAGAGGCGCCACCAGGGGTTGCTGAAAATTTCAAGCCCGTCTCATCAAAGAAGAGGTGTAGGCTAGCCAAGGTAACACAGCAGTCAGTACTCGATCTTGAAAGAAGAAAATTCAAATTTGTGTTCCAGTTATTTTATTCCTTCTCATTGGACTTCTGATTTTTATTTATTTAAAGAGAATCTGCCCCACATCTTACCTAATTACATATAGTTAATGTAGGAAACAGTATAGTGAATACTTGGTTCCTTTTGTGAATTTAGATGCTTTTGTTTTTCAGAGCTGGGAATCAAAGCTAAGTCCTTGTTCGTATCAGGCAATCACTGAGCCACATTTCCCACTTTGTACTGTTATATATATTTTTTTAAGATTTGTTTTTAGTTATGTGCTATGCACTTGAGTGCAGGTGCTTGTGGAGGCCAGAAGGAGACATCTGATCCCCTGGATCTGGATTTATAGGCACTTGTGAGGTATCTGATTTGAGTGCTAGGAACCATCCCACCTGACCATCTCTCCAGCGCCTGTACTTTGTTTTTAAAACAGGCCAGTTTCCCACCATTTCTTGAGGGTGACTTGTGAGACAGCTTTGCTTTTAATTTTCTGAGATTTGAAATGTTTTGTTTCATTGTGACTTTTTATATTCAGATTATGCCTTTCTTACCAAATGGAAGCCTCTCAAGTTAGCCGTGGATGCCTTAGCCAGATAGTAACAGTCTTTGATAGTTTCCTTTCTTTCTGACCTGATGAGTTCTTGCAGGCTTCTTGTATTTGCCATCCAGACTTGGAATTGGTCATTGCTTCAAGGAGCTTTGGCTCCTTTTGGCAGGAAATATATTTAGAGCTCTCAATCTGGGCACTGGGACTATTTATTGCAACTTCTTTGATTTTCCTTTTTTAAGATAAGATACAACAAGAGCTCCTATCAGTAATTCCAATTCAGTCAAAGGATTGTAAGGTTTTTAACTTAAAACCATTGATTTTTGTGCCCCTAACTTTTCTCCCTTATACCAGAAACCTCAATTCTGAACTAAGTGTGATGTCTCACATCTGTAATCCCAGTACTTGAGAGGCTGAAGCAGGACTGCTGTGAGTTTGAGGCAAGTCTGAGCCACAGAGTGAGACCTTGTTTAAAAAAACCAAAATGTTTGGTCCCAAGGAGCTCCCCGTCAGCAGCATACCTGGTCTGTGGGGCATATGCTCCAAGACTTGCCAGCAGACATCTGAAACCATGAATAATGCCAAATCCTATATGTACTGTTCTCCCTTATATTTACACACTTGCAATGAGGCTTAATGTATAAGTAAGACACAGAAAGAATGAGCAACATTAAAGTAGAATGGTTATAGTCTAATAAAAACTGGGTGGATGCAGTCTTAGGATGCTGTATTGTACTTACCCTTCCTATGATGTAAAATTGTGCCTCTGTGATGACATGGAAGTGAGGTGTGTGACCCAGTATTTGCCTACTACACAAGGGTTACTTAGGTACAAACTCCAAGATACTTCAAAGGCTGATCTAACAACCCAGACAACTGCAAGTGACCAATGTAGCATATATACTGACAAAGAGATGGTGTACAGCCCAGGCAGAACAGAGTGGAAGTCATGAAATTTCATTATGCCACTCAGAATGATACCCAATTTAAAATTTATCAGGTGTTTGTTTCTGATGTACATGTCCAACCAGGAGATTGATACCAAGGCCTCATCCATGCTAGCACTGTACTAGTAAGATGCACCCTTAGTCCCCACTTTCAGTTTGTTACCGGCAACCCACTATTAACCATGAAAAGTGAAACTGAATAGCAAAACCAAGCATGAGGACAACTACTTCCTTGACTCAGTCTTGTGATACAGACATCACTACTGGCACCATTATGACCACCAGAAATGCTTTTTAGTAAGATGTGTTTGACTCTAGGGCTTGTCCTACCAGGGAAGTTCAGTCACTCCTGTGTTCAAAGACCAGCAAATGGTTTTGCCACCAATACAGTACATCTTTTTCACTTGGTTGCCAACTTCCGATGCTTGCTTTTTCATATTATGTAACTGCTCAAACTTTAAAGAGTCTGGGGGCAGATCTTTAAAACAGTAACAAATTACAGGCAACTAAATCCAGCCTACTTTTGCTCTCCCCTTTTGCCTTTTTCTTTTTAAGTTTCTGAGTTTCCTCAGGAAACTTTGACATCACGGTTATTTATTCGTTGACTATTTAAGTGCACATAAAAGTTTTATGTGAATATATATATATATATATATACACTCTGGCCATGAATACAGCTGTCAAAGAGGAGGCTTCCTATGGAAATTTCAGGATATAACTTGTTACAGAATGTGCTAATCAAATTGTGGTCTTTTTGTTGCATTTGTTTTACTGCAGTCCAGCAAAGGAAAGGCACACTTCATCCTGTTTACTGGGTATCAACTGTTTTTGAGTCTGAGGTATATGAGGATAAATTTCAAGTGGTTATTTAACCAACAGATCAATCCTAGGACAGTGACAAAATAAAACAAAATATTCTTTTGACATGACTCGAAGCAAGTACTTGGTGAGCACTGGAATGATTAAAACAAAATATTCTCTTGGCATGAGTCGAAGCAATTACTTGGTGAGCACAGTAATAAGGCCATGACACCAGGAATGAAGTGGAGGCAATGAATAGAATCCTGAAGGAACATTCTAGAGAGCTTTGTGATCCTGCTAGCAAGGAGTAAGGGAGCATGAAGGTAGAGGGTACACTGGGGCACCACTCAGCCCACTCCACAAGGGGCTTAATCCAGTAGAGAAGTGAGTGGTGGGGTAGAAGCCTAGCCCCCCTCTACAGTAGTGGTTGAAGCTGTGTAAGAGGCAGTCACAAAGAAGGACAAAGTAAGCATGGGAAGCAAGATGTCAGACATCTTAAGAAAGCCTACACCAATACAGCCAAAGAGAAAAACGAGAGGTCAGCAGATCCTAAGAGCCTCAAGCCGTTCGTGCCAAGGATGCTTGCAGTGATGTAGTAGTGGTGTAGGGTAAATACTACCAGGATCTGCCTCTGCTGATGTCTGCTCTTCCGTTTGCATATCTACCTCTCTGTGAGAGACACTCAGTGTCCCTGTTGTCTGTCTTCAAGAAAAGTCTTGATAATATCAGAGCTAAGTGTCACACAGATCTGCCAGTGGCAGGAACAGTGGACCTGTTCTTGGAGTCCTGGCAGAACCGGAGGAATGGTTATTTTGTGTTTTCTTTACTAACAATAAAATACAACTTTCACAAACCTTGTAAAATCTCAGTAAATATCAGAGAAGAGTCAGACTTCTATACTGTCATGGCATCAGTGTGTATCTTTAGCATGCGTCTTAGCGGTAAACTTCTGGTAAGGGATAGACATGCTAACATCAGCTTTTATATCCCGAAATTGTGTGTTTTTTCCTTCAAATCACCTTCCCCTAGACAGCAGGTGCATTAATGGTTGTGCAACTTTGGGGAGTCCCTTTAGGGAATTTCCTGTTTTTCTTTTTACATTTCACACCCATTCCTTGCTCCCGCCGCTACCATCTGCTATCTTTTTTCTCCTGTTCAGCATTGGCTTCTTCACACCCCACTCCCACGCCCTCTTCCATTTTTCTCCGTCTGTCCAACAGCCCTCTACTTAGATTGCTCTGATGCGTGTACATGGATCAAGAGAACTTTTTGCTAGCAAGCAATTCACTAAGCTCAGAGGAGACACAGAATGTGCTAAGCCTTTCACCCAGACCTCTTTGAACTTAACATAGTAAGCGTGTTCTAGACAGCAGCGGTGCTGGTGTGGGGAGCATTAACCAGACTCAAATGTTTCTGTAACAACATGCCCAACCCTACATTTCTGTGCATGTGTTTAAGGTGTGTAGGGAAGAAAAATTATACCAGGTTAAGCTTAATTGCCTTGCTGTCTTTACAGCCATAGAAGAAAATATACTCATCTTGAAATTAAACTACAAATTTAAGTGTGGTTCTTGAATGCCATTCTCTGAGCGATGTACTGCCTAGCAATGGCACTTCCCGTTGGCAAAGCCATCCACTAAGCAATAGCTGGCAGTGACTCTTCCCATGTAAATTAGCATTAAAATCCAATCCTAAAGACCTTTAGGGGTTCACAGCCTGAGGGCTACACATGGTCAAGGAAGGCTATGATACAGCCCAACACAGAATTGCAAACTTTTAAACCATCATGAGATGAGAGGGGGGTAACTTGATTATGTAGTTCTCAAACATGGACTTTGTAGGTGATCATATTGTTTCAAAATATCAAAAGATTAGATGTGTAGTAACATATTTTCAAAACCCTGTTACAAAGTGGTAACTTTAACTATGTGAAATATTTCCATGTTATAACATTCTAAACTAGAATATTGATAAAATATGTGCCATTAATATGCTAGCCACATCCTCGGCAGAGATCAAATGCTTCGCTGCATAGTGTGACTCTGAGTATCTAGTTTTGTGTTTCAGTGTGTCATTATTTTATCACTTTGCCTGTTTTCAGGTGATCTTAAAGCTAATGCCATTTATGCTTTGAAAATTTTTTGCTGTGCTGATTTTTGTGTCAGGGTCTCCTTATCTAATTTCAGATTGGCCTGGAACTCAGCCCTCCTGCCATGGCCTCCTGCGTTCTGGGGTTATGGGCATGCTTCACCACACCCCACTCTGAGCAGTTTTTAAAGGAATTTTTTTTCCCCACAAAGTAATTACTGGTGTTTACTAATTATTCAGAGTAAAAAGGTAGAACACAAAAGTACCACCAGTACTCCTATGTTAAATAAGATAGCCTGCACTCTTAGTGGAAGTGGGTTAATTGTTACGTAATCAAGTCTCCTACTTCTGTGTCCCTCCATCACCATATGAACTCACTGTGTATCCAGAGAAGGGCTGTGGTGAGAGATTTGAGGTACAGGCACTGGGGTGCCATTTCTGTTGCACACAAACACACTTCAGTTTTAAATGCTGCTGTCTGTTGTAGGACATAGAAGCTGCAGAGAAGTCTTTACAGGCCAGGCTTAAGCCACGCCCACAACCTGCAGTGCGTTCTCTTGAGGTAAGACCCTGAGTTAACTGTAACAAAAGTGACAACTGTGAGTTCCCTTCAAGGCCTACACAGCTGTATTGCCCAGGTTTACTTTGTCAGTAAAATAAGCAAGAAAGGTCTGGTTAATATTTTTATGTTCACAGCACAAAGTTTTATATACAGCAATAATTTAATCTGCACCCAGTTTTGTGTGTATGTGATGCAGCGCATGTACATATGCAAGTGCACATGCATGCATACATGTTGTGGTACATATGTGGAGATCAGAAGACTACCTTCAAGAGCCGTTTGTCTCCGTCATGTGGATTCTGGGGATCAAACTCAGGTCATCAGGCTCAGTGGCATGTGTATTAACCCGCTAAGCCATCTAGTTCTCTAATGGAATGATGTTTTTAATACTTGAAATATTCATTCATGTACATAGATCTATCTCTATCCCCTTACCTATCCCCTAACACACACACACACTTTTTAAAACAATTAAGTCCAGTTAGAGCTGCCCTTGTGTGCATGGATGCAAGGAATTCCCTGGAGCATGGCAAACCTACCAGTTACCACATTCTCAACAAGAATGAGCCTCCCTCCCCCAGCAACTGTCCACTACCAATAGTTCTTCACTGTGCCAAGGGGCCAGGAGATCATCTACCTCATGTGTGCCAAGATTTTGGCTGGCTTGATCTTGTGCAGGTGAGCACGGCAGCTATGGGTTCATGACTATGACAGTCATGTCACATCCCGAGGACAGCATTCCACAACACTCATTGCCATCCCCTGACATCTACATTCTTTCTGCCCCCTTTTCTAATGGAATTGCCCTGCAGACTTAGTGTCACTACCAGAAGGCACGAGTTTTTAAATACAAATTGGATAGCTTCCTATGAGTTATTGGTCAAGAAGCCTGTAAGGTCTCCAAGACAACAAAGCCTATTGCTATTGCCATCATACCTGGTTACCTACCGTAAATGCATGGGAAGACTCTACTGCTGGAGCCACCGTACACTTGGCTTCCAGACAAAGAGAAGTGAATTTCAAACCACAGGAAACTTCCTGTGTCAGAAGGTGCTATGCAGGCTCCTGGGAGAGAAAAGACATCAATGGTCTTACCAAATGCTGAACCTTACATGCATTAATACCAGTCTGCCAGGCAAGATGTGCCTACTGCTATAATAGTGTCATAACTATTATGGGTACCTAACTACTTTCTGATTGGATCAGAGACCTGCTCCACAGGATGGAATTTCTTGCCTAATCCTGAAATCCTAGTCAAAAGTCCATGACTGTGGAGGTCGTAGGCCCTAGAGTATTGTTATTTTACCAAATGGACATGCTATCAAATTGTCTTCCACATAGTTATGCATATACCCATAGACCTTGGCTGCTGTAACCCTTGGTCGGAGAAACTTCTTTCTGCAGTGGGCAGCAGTCTGTGCAAATGCAGAACTGGTCAGAGAGCTGAGAATGAGAGACGCAGTGCTCATCCCTAACTGGGACATCAGTATTAACCAGGGCTTAGGGAATAGAATGGAAATTGTGTAGAACGTCTTGTCTTCTACCTCTTGTCACATTGAAGCAACTGTTCTGTTGAATATGCTGTGACTCCTGAGTGACAGCATGCTCAACCAAGGAGTGCTTGTTGGAAATATAGGGAGTCCCTTAACTATAACAAGAATCTTAAAAAAAGATCTTATTCATAAAAACAAACCTGGAGCCAGGTATTGGGGTGAACACTGAAAGATCAGAGAAACTGAACCAGCCACAGCTAACCTCACCTTGCCGATTCATCAGCTGATCTCGTTTCCTCAAACTGGAAGCCTCTGTGTCCTCATCCAAATGGATCTCAGCTGAACTGCTGCTCAAAAACCTAAAGCTTAACCAGACCTAGTTTCTGGTTTTCACGCCTTATATACCTTTCTGCTTCCTGCCATGACTTCCTGGGATTAAAGGTGTGTGACACCAAGCCTGGCTGTTTCCAGTGTGGCCTTGAACTCAGAGAGTTCCAGATGGATCTCTGCCTTTGGAATGCTAGGATTAAAGGCGTGAGTGCCACCATTTTCTGGCCTCTGTATCTAGTGGCTGTTCTGTTCTCTGATCCCAGATAAGTTTATTAGTGTTCGCAATATATTGGGGAACACAGTATCACCATACTTGACTCGGATGTGGCCAAAGCCTTTCAGATTCATATTACCAGTACACCCAGTGGAAGGCTGAGGCAGGAGACTGCTGAGTCTACATAGTGAGAGAAGATTAAAAAGAAAGAGGAAATAAATGTCTATCACCATGATTACCACACAATGCAAACAGTTTTATTAGCTCAGTTTTCAGAAGCAGACTGGGGAGATGGTTGGTGAAAGGGAGCCACACTTAGTCTGTGGATGTTTGTGCTGGGTGGGAATTCACTACATATAGAATAGTTTCATTTTCTACTTCTAATGAGCTTTCTCAGATGTCATTTTCCTTTTTACCCAACTGGGGATAAGAATAGACTCAAAAGTAGAGGCTGAGAATCTGCCCCTCAATTTTCTGTGTCATTTAGGGTAACAGGAAAAAGCAGTGATCAAGTGCAGAAAAGACTGGCACAAAGTTGTGCATTGGGTATGCTCTCCTTTGTCAAATTCACCAATGCCTTATTTGAGCACAGACAGGGCCTACACAATAGTGGTTAATTCAGCCGTGAATGGCACAGAAGCCCCCCGTCTCTGGCCTTGGATGGTATTCTGAGCTATACTGGCACAGCAGGGTAACCTTTATCTTAAGTATGTCAGGCTGTTTCTCAGACCACATGCACAGATGTATAGATATTCGAGTCTCTCACACCGTGATCCTCAAACAGTAGAACCGCTGCATGTGTTCCTAGTGCTATCGGACTCAGCGCAGAATTACCCCAAAACTGATGGTGTTGATCCAGTAGAAAATGCCATCCTGTGATGCAAACTTTGGCCTCCTTGGCAGTCACTCCAAGCTCATCCAAGCTCCTCCACCATGTAGCAGTACTACTTGGATTTCTACAGCCTGTAGGTCACAACAGTCAGACATATACAGCATCTCAACTTGCAAGTTATTGCCATCAAAATGGGTACACTTTGTTAGTTATTTTATCATAAAAGTCTGAAGAGCTGGAGAAATGGCTTAGCAGGTAAGAGCACTTGCTGCATACGCATGAGGGCCTGAGTTTGGATCCCAGCACCACCTAAAAGCAAGGTGTGGCCCTGCATGCCTGAAACCCCAACACTGCGGCAGTGAGATATAGGAGGATCATCACTGGGGTTTGCTGGCTGCCAGACTCATTCCAGGATCAGAGAGGCACTGTCTCAAAGGAATAAGGCAGACAGTGATAGAGGGGGCTCCCAGTACCCTTGTTTCCATGGGCATGTGTGCACACGAGTGTGCACAGACACCACATTTTACACATAGACACAAATTTAAGAAAATGAAAATGTGTCACGTGGCCAGGTCATATCATCTCCTGTTAATTCTGAGGAACTTATTCATGTATAATCTTTTATGGTCCTTTTCATATGGACAATCCAGGTTTGGAATCTAGAATAGTAAACAATATTTAATAACAGGTACCATAAATGACATTATTGTTAATAATCACAAAACTGGCCACAAGAGGGCGTGTAAAATCACAATAAAATTTAAAACCTTAATTCTGCCAGGCTCTGCTTTGCTGAAAAATTTGAAAATTAGCACTAGTAAGTAGCCAGGTTTTTTTTCTTAAAATTAACATAAAATGTTCCATAGAGGAACATATCTACATATATGTATGTGAGAGTGTGTACATGTGTACACGCACACACACTTAAGATAATAAACTATTTAGATTATTATGAAGAGCTGAATTGAACTTCTTGCTATGCTATCTTACTTCTTTTTTTTTTTCAGACTCGTTACTGGGCATCAGTAGAAGAACATGTCCCTAAATGGGAACAGTTCCTTTTAGGCAGAGCACCATATCCGATTGGTGGCGAAAATCAAAGTGAGGCAGGAAACACCGTTCAAAATGAGATGAAGTGATAACTTATTCATACATTACTCAGAAAACAAAAACAAAATCCAAAAACAGCTGTTTGATGAAACTCTGTAAGTCATGGCAGGAACTTGAGGGAGTAATGTGCTTTGTTGGTCTCATTATTGTCAGTCTGAGAGCCACTGACAGGTCTCAGGTTAGACTACTGCAAGGTCAGTCTGAGAGCCACTGACAGGTCTCAGGTTAGACTACTGCAAGGT